TTTATATGTCTTTTCATTTAAAGGACTGATGCCACGTCGGCGCAATCCGGATGCCCCCGTCGCGCCCAAAGCGCCGCGCGTCCGAAAGAAGAAAGTTGAAGCAGACGTGGTTAAGCAGGACTCGACTGTATACGAACCTCTAATGCAGTCGAATGGCATCATGGTCGACGATGCCGGAATGTATACGCAAGACTTCAGCTTTGCATTTGGTGCACAACCGACTTTTACGGGACCCGAACAAGCGAATAGCCCGTACATGCTGCCTCCACAAAGTAACACGCCACAACCTCCTATGATGTAGGATATTTTTTTTTAGCCAAAATAATAAGTGAACTTGGGGAGTTTGGGGGTGGGGCATTCACTACCAAAATAATCAGGTTGACCAATAAGTAATTTCATTTTGACATGCAAATCTAAGGCTCCATAAAAATTTAGGTATTTGACCTACAGTAATTAAGCTGATGCAGTAAGGGGTTTTCAAAGGGCTTTTATACAGTTTTCCTATTTTTGGTTCATGTTTAAAAATAAAGATACAAAAGCAACTGAATTAAAACCATACCTATCATCCTACCGTGGTTATAATTTGCCGTTAAACTTTTTATAGGTGAAGTCACCAACATATATTTAGTTGAGCTTTTTTGAGAGGGTAGCTTTGAATCCGTACTATCACATATATTTTAGTCAAAATGAAATAAGAAAGCATTCTTGTTCTCATACCAAATTTGTTGCTTTGGTGTTAGTCCTGTAAAACAGTTCTTGCTCCCACAATGTTATTTTTTCTGGTTATCTTGTCACGAAATTTGATACCCTCTCTTAGTCACGCATTTTTATGCACAAATTTGTAAAACATAAACAAATTATATCTTTATCTGTTTTTTTTTTACTTCTTGTACTCCTAATCTGTCAACCAAGGATAACCGTAGCCTTACCAAAATCGTCACTTTCACTTTGTTGTGAAAAAACGTGACTTTTCTACTTTTCTGAATATTATCGCTGTCAAAGTAATAATGGTCGCTTAAACAAGGTTGGTCTTTCGATCCTTGGTGTACATTTCCGAATGGCTACCATATATACATAACCTTATCAGCAAGTGTTTTTCAAATCCAAGTAACTTCCGAATTTATTTTCTAGCCATTCTAATATTTTTTTACCGTTTTTGGCGTCTTATTTCGTCAAAATTCAGAAGGTCTTGAAGAAAAGCAGACGAAATGCCTCTTCTTCTGCTATGTAGTGTCTGAGCGAACGTTTCCCTGCTGAGGAATGTT